TGCTTAGTGGCCCCAACGATGGACTGGAACACACTCATGATGGGGACGGTGGTGCAAGACCCCGCTACGTGTAGCTCTGTGGGACACCAAGTTGCCACGAGTCAGCGTGGATGTGAAGGCACCTGACCGCACCACTAGGCGAACAGTAATGAAAAACATTGAACGGCAAGAATGATCATCAATAACATTCATGGGATCCTCACTCTTTCTGGGTTCTCTTCCAAATGCATTGTCCACGAATGAAGACAATCAATTATCACACAATCTTTATTTGAGGCTCACAGGAGTCAAGAACTTGTCCAAATTCACACAGCTAGTAAGTGGCAGGTGTAGGACTTGAACGTAGGTGTCTGGTGAAGTCAGGAACCCTGTTGGTGTAGTCATTACACTTTGGGCTATTAACACCAATCGATACCACCAGGGCTTTCTACTCCTGGGAAGAGTAACAGTCTCAGAGACTCACAGGGGCAGTTCTACCCTGTCCTATAGGGTCACTGTGAGTCCTCATCAACTTGATGGCAGAGAGTCTGAGGGTTTGAGGGCTACCTGTCAACCTCTCTAAGCAAAGATGGCCATTATATAGTTGCAAAATTCCCTTGTATTCCAGTGCCAAAGAAACAGGAAGAACATTGTATAGCTGTATAAAAAGCAACTAATGTTTTAAAGAATAACCATTTTAGAATAGAAAAATAAGTTTCCCAGTGTGAAAATAATATGAATGATTGATTATAAACTTCCATTTTATTTCAAGGGATTTTTTCCCCAAAAAAATCTTTGGTAGGTAACATTTGTTTGTTTTGCTATGTCATTACCACTAATGTCTGTACCTCATTTTATGATGTGCAGAACAATTTCCTGCCTAGTCTCTCATATGACTGCCACCTCACTGTGATAAGGCAGGCATTGCCTTTTAAAAAAAATCATTTTATTGGGGGCTCATACAACTCTTATCACAATCCATCCATCCATCCATCCATCATCCATCCATTGTGTCAAGCACATTTGTACATTCGTTGCCCTCATCATTCTCAAAACATTTTCTTTACACTTGAGCCCTTGGTATCAGCTCATTTTTCCCCTCCCTCCCCGCTCCCCATCTCTCATGAACCCTTAATAATTTATAAATTATTATTTTGTCATATCTTACACTGACCAATGTCTCCCTTCACCCACTTTTCTGTTGTCCATCCCCCAGGGAGGGGGTTATATGTAGATCCTTATAATCGGTTCCCCCTCTCTATCCCACCATCCCCCCACCCTCCCAGTATCGCCACTCTTTGTTTTGTCATCTCAAGCT